TTTTTTTTTTTTGTTGGTACAAGGACCTCCCGGTTTTTGGATCCACAGGGGAACCGACTAATCCGAAATCGAGCCGGGTAGGACCACAAGGGCGGCAAAGTTCTCCCTCAAAAATTAACGATGTTTTAATAAAATACATTGAAATTTCTAATTGTTATTAGTTGATCTGACTAACGAATTCAATTAACGATGTTTTAGGAACTTCAAAAGGGTAAGATTGGAATAACAAATTGTATCCACTGGTTTGAGCCGTTCGATGAAACAAATGACGAAGATGTGAAAGCCGCCCGTAGAGCCTTTGATTTTATGTTGGGATGGTAAATCACAATTTAATTTTGTTATTTGTTTTTCATTTTTTTTTATATAGAATTTATTTGTTTTTTTTTTAATATATATAAATGTATAATAATTCAGGTTTATGGAGCCTGTGTTGACGGGTCAGTACCCGAAGAACATGTTGGATTTTGCTCCACGCGAGTATCTCGACCCGTTTAGTGAAGAAGAGTCAAAGCTGCTCAAAGGGTCCGTTGACTTTGTGGGAATAAACTTCTACACAGCAATGTATGCTCAATACGATCCCAATTCTGATGCTAATGAAGGCTACTACAAAGATCAGAAGATTAAATTCAAGTGTAAGACCATTATTATTATGACTTTATTTTGGATTTTTATTATTTTTATTTTATTTAAAAAAAACATATAAGATATGAAGTTCAAAATTCAAATATTGTTGATGTGCGCTATATTTATTTATTAATTTTTTTTTTTCAGATGTGAAAAATGGTCTGCCCATAGGTGATTCGGTAAGAATTTCAGCGTATTTTAATTTGACCGATGCTTTGGTGTTAATTCTTTTAATTAAAAATAAAATAAAAATTTGCATCCTCTAATAGCATGTCTAATTTTTTTTTCTTGGTAAATCGTAGCTTTAAGTCACAAAAATTGGTAATTATAAAATCTGATTGCATCTTAATGAAAAGGCTACAGTCCCGTTACGGAACTATGTCGTCGAAATTTGTAACTGTTAGATCGTCATGTAACCGTCATGTATAGTTGATCTAACGGTTACAAATTCCGATGAAATTATTTCGTAACGGGACCAATCTCCTGCATCTTAATTATAACGTGTGTTTTTTGTAAGATATTGCGCAGTCAAGATGTGGTCCAAGCTGCAAATCATAAATTGTGATATAATTCATGTTGCATTTTATCAAGAAAAATGCTTTAAGATGATACAGTATTTCTTTCTTTTTTTTTTTCATTTTCTTTGGGTAATGTAATGTGATTGATACTAATTATCTGTTTTTTTTTTTTTCTCTATAATTATGATATAATTTATTAAGACTGGTTCAAGCTGGCTGTACGTAGTACCGTGGGCATTTTGGAAGCTCCTCAAATTCTTGAAGGACACATACGACAACCCTACTTACAAACTCCCTCCTATATACATTACTGAAAACGGTAATCTTCTTAAGCGAGACAGTCTAACTGTTAGGTAGGTCAACTCATTATTAAGCGTCTATACTGTGTTGTGTTTTAGGGTGTGATCAACAAAATGACCCTCAACAGACTCCTTCCCAAGCATGTAAGGATACGCAAAGGGTCAACTATTTCCGTGATCATCTCGCATATCTTCAGAAAGCAATCACGTAAGTTTGTGAATAATCGACTACATTGTGAAGCTACTTTAGACGTTGGAATTTCACGTTGACCGAATATCTATTGTTGGCTAAGTTGTGAATTATTGTACGTTTTTTATCAATTTGTTACAAAACTAAAGCTACGTATGTAACCCCTTCTTCTCCTTACAATGCTACGTGGCAGGGAATTGAATGTGAAGGTGGAGTCGTACTTCGCATGGTCGTTTTGCGACAATTTTGAGTGGTACGATGGGTACAGGTCCAGGTTTGGAATCCTGTACATAGATTTCAAGAACGACCTCAAAAGGTACCGCAAGGACTCGGCCATGTGGTTCACCAAGTTCCTCCTCAAGGACAAAGAAGCCAATGATGATGAGGAGAATACCAAGACAATTATCTGAATCTTATTTATGTTTGTGTGTTATGCACTAAAGTTTGTGTTTCAGGTTAAATAATGTAATGTTTGTATTTGTGTGTGCTTTGTTTGACGATGAATAATGATACTGATGGGATATATAAACCCAACAGTGTTGTGTTTGTAGTTTCATTATTATTATATTGTATTCGAGTTTGGAACTCTAATGTCGATTGCAAGCTAATGGCATAATAACTTCTTCGTAATTATATGAAGAGCACAATTTCGCACTAAGAAGTCGCTTTGGTATGGTTCGGATCTACTTGGTTGATGAAGTCGTTGCCTATGAGTTTTTGTCGAATAAATCTTGTAATTATCTTGAAAATATAGTGGAATTGTTCGAAGGTTGTCTCGTGGTTTTTTTCTCTACATTGGAGGTTTTTCCACATTAAATCTTGGTGTCTTATTTCTTGCATATTTATTTATTTGGGATATTCTTAGTATGCTCTGTGGTCACAGTTTAACTGATCTTCCACATCAGCAAAGAATTATTCATGTTTTATTGCAAGAGATTTCTTTTGTCATTCTTGAGTTGATGTGATTCGGAAAATTGTTCACCATTTTATCTCGAAAACTTTTGTGTTCGTATTTTTACAAGGACAAGGTGTTCAAGAAGAAATTTGGAATCCAGGGAATAATTTCTCTTACATATGCTATCAGTAGGGATGTTCAAATTTCGATTATAACTAAATAACCGATCAAAATATATATTTACTTTCGTTTTTATATGTCGGTTAAGTTATCGATTTTTTTTTTTAATTTGATTATCTCGATTTGATTTTTTTTAAAATTTTTAAAATAACCGAAATAACCAAATCGATCAAATTTTTAAATATAATATTGTATTTTCACTAAAAGAAAACATAAAGTATGAAATAAAAAAGGGTAATTAGAATTAAATATATCTATTCTATATAAAAAATTATATATTTTGATTAATTCGATTAACTGACAGAATTATATGGTTATTCAGTTTAGTTTTTGATTCAGATTTGGACCAAAGTTAATATATAAGAAATGACGAATTCAGTTTGATGTAAACCAAGGTCATCGGGTGTAGCTCGTTCACCAGTCCTAGTGACCTCGAGCTCAAATCTGTATTATATCGAGGAGAGCTCGGGAATGACTGAGGAAACGTCGTCGCATGCCCCCCATGGGTCAGGTAGTATGAGACCCATATGGTAGGTCGGTTACAACTTAAGTACCTAAGTGATAGGTGATAGGTCAAAAAATATGTATATTTATATATATATAATAGTGTATTTTGATACGCCTAGTTTAGTCACACGTCTGTATTTTTCAACCTGTTTATTATTTAGTTTGATTCGTGTGATTTGATATTTTACATTTTATTTTGATCATGTTAAAGAATTTTCATGGATGATAAAGCGTCGGACAATGTCTGTAGTTTTTAGCAGAGCACAGAATAAATCGAGACCTCAGGGCATGTCTCTCGAGGAAGGTTGCTCGGAATCGAATTAATGCAATGATTGATTAAAAAAAAAAAAAAATAAGAGTCGTAACACTCTACTCACAATTTGGTTGGTTGTTTAAAGCTAAAGAACGGAACTGGAGGCAAGAGTTAATGCAAGATGATGCGAACTGGACTTTTCGAGGGGAATCAGACCGCAGTGGCTGGAGAAGTTGGATTTTAATGCAAATTAGATAGGATAAATTATGTGAATTATATTTCAAATCTCAAATATGTTAGATAGGATAAATTGTAAGTTTGAATGTTTAAAATTTGAATGTTGTTTGTGCACGTAGAGTTATATATAAGACCTTTGTATGAATATTGGAGGAATCAAGTTAAAAGTAATAAAACATAAGAAAACGGCTCGTTTCCGAGTACTTTCTTCGTGATAAACCAAGGCCGATAGTGCATGCTCTTCACATTTTATCGTGTTCGAACCAAGGCCGTTAGCGTGGATTCCTTCACAAAACCGAGTCTCGATACACGATTAGTGCTTTAATTGACAGTCATTGATCGTGTATCTTCTTTATTTTTCTAGTGTTCGCATGAAAGAAATCTTTGATCATTTTTTAGAGTTTTTCGTGAGTTAAATATTTGTTTATTTGGGTGTGGTCACATAGGATTAAAAAAATATTATATATTGTGGGGTGGTTGATCGCATTTTAAAAAATGGTCATGAGTGGAGCTTTGGATATTTAATTTCGTTTTAGTAAAAGGAATTTGGCTGAGAGTTGGTGTTTCAGAAAAAAAAAAAATAATAAAAAATTACATCATCACCATGAGTGACCACCAAATACGGGTCAATCGAGTACGAACGTTCACCTTTGTTTGACGTCAAGTTTGTGGATAAGCTTGTTTAGTTATGATGGTCCTCTCATTTATGATGACTACACAAATGAGAAGAATGATTAAGAGGTCAGGTCTTTAAGGGCAAGGACAAACTCGAAGGGGGACGGAGTGATGCAAATAGGACTTTCGAGTGGAGTAGGACCACAGTGGCGGGAGAAGTTGGATTTTGATGCAAATTAGATAGGATAAGTTATGTTAGTTATGTTTTAAATTTTAAATATTTTAGTTAGGATAGTTGTAGGTTTGAAGGTTTAAAGTTTGAATGTTGTTTGTAACAAACAAAAAAAA